AAATTAAATGTTAAGTTCCCTCCCCATCTAGAGCATAGATTTGAAGTCGGAGGAGGGTAAATGACTTCTCTGCAATTTAAGTTAACCTGTTCTGGTCTTTCTTCTACCCTGAGTTGGGAGGACTGAGCAGGCTGGCCCAGCTTGCCCAGCTGCCATGAGCTGAGGAAAGGTCAGGCAGGTTGGGGGTGGGGCCGAGACAAAGATACCTTTTTCTGGTGTCTGCTTGTTGTCAGAATGAAAGAGTCTGATTGTGTCCAAGAAAGTTCTGAGGTCAAGGCTATAGATTAGGTACAGAATGGGCCTCCAGGGGAAAGGGGCCTGAGGAGTCGAGATGTGTGGCCAAAAGGGAGCCTGGGGACGGAGGGCACGAAGTACTGTGTGCAAACAGCACTGGAACCTGGCCCGTGTGAAAAATCTCTATCCCGCAGCATCAGAAGTTCTTAACGGGCCTTGCAGACACCTGCAAATCTGGTTATTGGTGGCCAGAGAATCTGTGAGAATGGGTTCTGTCTTTGCTACCACATGACACATTCTGTTTTTCTCCATTTTTCTTTCTTAAGGCCAGTTAATGCCAATGCAACTTGGTTATCACGAACAGGGTGATTCACAAGTGCCTTCTGCTGAGCTAGATGGGGGCACTTGGGAACATCACAGGACATCATGAAAATAATTCAGAAAGAAAAAACACAGCTGCAGATTGCTAAGCAGAGACAACAACTGAAACTCCCTATCAGATTTCCAGAAAAAGCTGCAGGCAATATGAGACACAGGCTGTGACCCATGAAGCAAGGCTGCAGAGAGAACATCTCTGCAAGCAGAAGCCACAGCTGATATTCTGAAGGACAATCCAGAATGGGGAAGAGGCAGCCTCGTCTAGCAGTCAAGGGAATGGACTTGGCGATGAGGCAGTCCCAGGATTGTTCTACCGTGAACTAGAACAACTTACTTAACCTCTTTCAGTTTTCTCATCTTTAAAAGACAAACAAAATGAACATGCACTAAAAATTCCCTGGAAGGACACACTAGAAACAAACGTCAGTGGTTCCATTTTAGAAGACTGCACAGATGGGGACAGAGAAGAGAAAGACACTTTTCACTTTATATTTTGATACATTTTCATATTTGAACCAGGTGGATGTGTGGTCTTATTAAAAAGAATTAATGAAAAAAAGGACAAGTGATGATAGTTTATACCTTATAGGATTACACAGTTTTGACAGATGGTAATTACTCACATACATTTGCTGCTGTTATTATTAATGCAGGGACACTGACTGGGTCATCCATCAGTGTTTTTAGCCCTTACGTACCCAGTAGTGTCTTCATCACTATCCAGATCGATGTCCTACACACACCAGTCTTACATTAGGGTCATAATCACTAGTATAAATTCAGTCCCTTAAAAGCAGTCTTGTAAATGGGTAAAATGAATAAATGAGTACCATCTGCAAATTATACTATAAAATGTATTATATGTTTACTTTTAACAAATTTTAGAGAATTAAATTATTGACAATAGCACTTGGCAAAATTTTTTCTCTATTTTTTATTTTGAAAACTTTTAAACCTACAGTGAAATTTCAAGAATAGTATAATGAGCAACCGTATAACCTTCACTGATATGCACCAATTGTTAACATTTTTCCACATTTGGGTTCTCTTTCTCTCTTATACACGAAGGCACATACATACATATTTTTCTGAACTATTTGAAAGTTAGTTGCAAACATGACACTTATCTCTAAATACTGTATTTCTTCATGTATCTTCTGAGTACAAGGACGTTCCCCTACATAACCACAATACAATAATCAAACCCAGGATATTTAACTTTTACATTAGACTGTTATCTAATGTAGAGTCCATATTCAGATTTTCTCAAGTATTCTCATACTGTCCTGTGTAGCTTTTAGTTTTTAATACAGAATCCTATTGAAGATCTTGCATTGCATTTCTTTTAGTCTAGAGCATTTAAGTTGCCTTGTTTTGTCTTTCATGACATTGACATTGTTGAAGAGTCGAAGTCAGTTTCTGCCCTACCTTCCTTGCCCCAGTGTTCTTCAATTTGTTTCTGTCTGGTTATTTCTTTATAATTAGAGTCAGGTTAAATGTTCTTGGTAGAATATTACAACAGGTAATGTTCCAATGCCACCTTTTTGTCCTTCTCTTTTAAATGTGTGACATCAGGAGTAATTTTTAAAAATTCTAATATTCTTATTTTCAAATATCCAGCAGGTCAGTTATTGACAAATGAGTCTTGTCACCACGTCATGATTGAGGCAGTAGGCTATTTGTACAGATCACTTGATTTAAGGGCAACCTACCTGGGATCGTCTCATTCATCAATTCATGGAATCCTACAGTGAGTTTCTGTTTTATGACTCCCAAAGAAATATGCTTCTGGTTCTTCATGTTATATATATGTGTATATATATATATGACCTCTTGATAACTTTTGATCTTTTGCAGCCTTCTGGGGGAAATCAAGCGGATTCGGGGCAGGGGATGTTGGCCTCAAGGTATGAGCCAACAATGTACTGAGGGTTCTAGGAATGGCTTGCCATTATGGGAGCATTTGCTTAAATTAAACTACCACAGTGCTCAGAGTTCTAAAACAGTGAGCTCTGCAATGCGCATGAGCGCAGATAAGTTACAGAGAACTAAAAGCTCAGACTTGGCACCTCACACAATTTCGGATAAGTCAAAATGTGCAAAAGGGAAAAAGATCTTGAAACCTATTCCTTCCATTTCTGCTGAGGAAAAGGCCCAACGGAAGACACCAAATAATGTTGAAATACGGAATAGTCCAGGAAAAGAAGCAGCAAAGAAAAAGAAGGACTATTCCTCTAAGAGTTTATCTTTGGGTAAAACAAATGGTTTAGTAAAGCTTTCAAGGCAAAGGATTTTGTTGGCTAAAAGCCAGAATGGAGAAGGCCAAATCACCACTATTTACTGCCATCCGCTGTTGTTGCCACTTAACACAAATAAACCTTGGGAAGCCGTATCTGAGCTCATATCAGAAAAGTGGCTTTTTCATAGCCGAGGTTATAGTTCAACTTAGAAGTGTTTTTTTGCAGAGAAGATCTCAAATCAAAACAAAATTGTTGAAGACCTCAAATGATATGAATAAGGAATAAAAATTATAGTGGGCTCTTTGGTGTCTGTTAAGTTTTTTCCACTTGTCTTTAATTAGAACTCTTTGATTGGATATTTTCTTCTAAACCACTTAGGAGTGATAATCAAGATCTGGGGATTTGATTTTTCAGTTCCTTAAAATATTACAACTGATTTTAGCTAAAAAAGAACAATTTTTAAGTGATTCACATTTCTATGGTAGGTATCCTTGATCTCACAGTGTTTCATATTCAAAAATATCTAGAAATAATATTACAACTGATTTTAGCTAAAAAAGAACAATTTTTAAGTGATTCACATTTCTATGGTAGGTATCCTTGATCTCACAGTGTTTCATATCCAAAAATATCTAGAAATATTACTAAAGTTCGAATTGTGTTATTTTTACATTCCTATAGTTTATCTATTTTGAATTTATGAATTCATTTAACATGTAAGCAAAATTTACAACTATTACCACTGAACCTTTTTTTGAAACATGAATAAGATATAAATTAAAATAAATTAAAACCATAAAGTAAATTTAAAGTACCTGAGCCCGTGGATTTGATATCAGCTGTTTTAAGCATTTTATTATTTCATTTTATCAGTGATTTGTAAAACATTGACCATTAACTATTAAGGACTACTTATTGGCTACCTTCTCCCCTATCAACCAATTAAATCTTACATACTATGTTAGGAAGTCAAATGGAAGAATGGGCTCAGCCCTGTGACTTTAGGAAAGTTATTTCACCTCTCTGAGCCTCGGTGTTATCACAGTCATCCCTCTCCATCCACAGGTTCTGCACCCTTGGATTCAACCAACCGTGGACTGAAAATTCTAGAAAAAAAAACAACATAAGAATAAATAATACAAATAGAAAATACAGTATAACAATTATTTATATAACATTTGCTTTGTATTAGGTATTATAAGTAACATAGAGATGATTTAAAGTACACAGGAGGATGTGAGCAGGTTATATGCAAATACTATGCTGTTTTATAAGAGGGACTTGAGCATCCATGGATTTTGGTATGTGGGGAGGAGGGTGTTCTGGAACCAATCCCTGGCAGATACCAAGGGAGTACTGCATTTGTAAAATGGGAGAAATTATGGCATCTAGTTTTCAGGATTACTGAGAAGATTGCATGAGATAATGCACACAGAAGCCTTCAATAAATGGTAGTCTGACCCGGATGCCACCGTTTTCCATGAAACATCTCCCGACCCCTCCAGGCCACAACTTGAACATACATACACTAATGCTTTGGGTTATTTGTCTTAAGTCGTGCCCCACTTATTCATGCATGGCAGTATGGTCTCCCGGGAAGCGTGCCAGCCTTGAGAGTTATTCCCCTTATTCCACCTAGCACCCTGCTCAGCAGTAACCACAGGGCAGCTTGGGAAGTCCTTGCAGTCCAGTTATTCTCACATAACTGATGTGGGTGGGCCACATCAGTCTTTCCTGCAGGAGCTGTGTCTGAGTCCACACAGAAATGCTTCCTGGTGGGGAGGTTACTGTTCATTTGGCTTTAGTGGAACCGCATGGCACAGAACAGATGCAGCCTAGCAGGTCTGAGAGACCTGTGCACCCAGCCAGGAGCTTGGGCAGGGACAGGAGCTGGGAGACCGTGTCTCGAGGATCTTTCTTGGGGGATGGAAATCCAGGGTGGGGTACTGGGTCTTCCAGGCTGTGCAATGCGGGTGCCCTTCAAACTTATTGGAGTTAAGGGGCTGGGGTCCTCCAGCCACCATCAGTCCACATGTGGGGGCCTTGGCCCAGCCGTCCCTTCACGGGCGGGCCTGGGTGGATCCAAGCTGGGGATTGGGGGATGTCCCAGACCGGTCCCCGCGATCCAAGGGAAGTCCAGACTGCAGAGGCCATTAACGAGGAGAGGTCACCTTCCAGAGCCCGGCCAGAGCAGCTCAAGGGGGCACTGTCCGTGCAGCCAGCGTTGGGGGACCGCCACAGAAGGCCGGAGGAAGGTGCGGCGGAGCTCAGCGGGTGGCGCCGGCGTCGCGTCTTGTCGTTCCATTCCACGTGGCCTACGCACCACCACGCGGTCGCTCCTGCGCGCATCAGGGTCAGAAAGTGACCGTAGCAGGCTGGGCGCCCGACCCGAGCCGCCTGGGCCCGGCGGCAGCCCCGCCCTGGACTCCTCCCCTACTCGGCCCTGTCCCGCCCCGGCCCCGGCCCCGGCCCCAGGCTCCGCCCCCGGCCCCGCCCCGCAGCGGCCGGAGGGCCTGGCGGCGCCGCCAAGTGTTCCGACGCAGGGAGCCGCCCGCCTGCGGAGCTGAGCGCGGGCAGAGGACTGGCGGCGCGGCGCCACTCGCAGCGCGCTGGCGGCAGGCATGACCGCGGCGGGAGTGGCGGTGGTGGCCCGCGGGGCCGGGGCGAGGGCGGCGGCTTTGGCCCTGCGGGGCGGCTGCAGGACCGCGGCACCCGGGCGGCCGTGCACGGGCCCAGCTCGGCCCTTGTGCACTGCACCCGGGACCGCCCCGGACATGAAGCGCTACCTGTGGGAGCGCTACCGGGAGGCGAAGAGAAGCACGGAAGGTGAGTGCGGGGAGCTCCCATCCCTGGCACCTGGGGACCCCTCCGCGCCCGGCTGGGGCGGCAGGTCTCCCGCGCGGTTAGCGGGCACCCTCGGACCCGGGCCAGTCCCGCTCTGACCTCCAAGGCGCTCCAGTGACCCTCGGCCCCCCAACCTCCAGCCGCAGGCAGCATCGCCTCTGCCGAGCGACTCCAAAACTTCACAACTCTTGTCTTTCTTGTTGGGAAAGCTGTTTTATACATTCTTGAGAATTTTAGCCCGAAATCTTTATCGAAAGCGCTTTGGGTTGCCCCGGGGGTTCCGCAGACATCTCTTGGGAGGCGGTCACCCCCACGCGCCGTTAGGTATTGTTATTAACCAACAGCGATGACAGAATAGCCGGAGTCGCCGGTGCCCAGTCAGCCTGGAGCGGGGCTGCTGGGCAGGTGGCCGTATCCGGAGGCTGATCTGATTTCCTTGGGGCGGGGTGGGATGTGCCGTGTTTGAAGTCGGAATCCAGATTGGGAGTGTTCTGGGTTATCTACTGTCCTCAGTGAGGAGGGGATTCGGGGAGTGAACGAGTACTTACTTTGTGGCCAGGTGAACAGAAACTGAGCTTAGTTCCTTTGTTACCAAGGGAAACGGGAGAGCCGGAAAGAGGAACTACTAAATACCAGTGCCAGGCACATAGATAGATTATCTGCCAGGATTCTTCCAGTGAGTAGCCGGCGAAGGTGCTGCCACATCCCGGTTCTATAGATGGGAAAGGCAAGACTCAAGTCACGCCTTGACCTAGGTCTGGGTCAGCCCCGAACCTGCCGTCCGGTGTCCTGTGTCGCGCTGCTTTCCAGTAGCAGCTGACCATGTGGGAACTGGTAATCCATTGGCGCCGCTGCTTGCTTTCAGGGAAGATTCAGAATCAAAATTCTAATGCTGATTTCTTTTTTTGTTATTGGAGGTGGCACATAGAGATAGGGAGAGAATATTTGGTGAGAGAGAACATTTTGTCTGATCACATTTTCCATCTTTTGGCTAGAAGTCAATTTCATGAAATAAAACCAAATTGAAGTAATTTTCAGAGGGAACTTAAAATGGCCAGCAATGCAGAATTCTATGCAATAGCTGCTTATTTTCTTAGTTTCCCTTTGCCAAGAGTTTGATTTCTTTGGCTTTTGAAACTGTTGTGTGGTATGGTGGAGAGAAGACTGGCTTTGGAGGCATTGGGAACTGCAGATCTTGAGAGATGAAAGAAATGTAGAAGATTATCTAGCCCAGATTTTGGGCAGGCAAGATTTTTTTTTTAATTGGAATTTTTATTGAGATAATTGTATATGTACATGCAGTTGTAAGAACTAATACAGGGAGATCCAGCATATCCTTAACCCAGTTCGTTCCAGTGCTAACATTTTGCAAAACAATAGTAGAGCATCACAACCAGTGCAGATTGATACAATCGAGTCCCCTAGTTTTATTGTACCCCTGTGTGTGCATGCATGTAGTTCTGCACAGTTTTATCACATGTAGGTTTGTGTGTCCGCCATCACAGTCAAAGTACTGAACAGTCCATCACAGGGATGCCTCATACTGTCTTTATAACCACACCCACCTGTCTCCTGATGCTCTCTCTGCTTCCCCATGCCTGGAGTGTTATCTGTTCTCCATTTCTAAAATTTTAGCATTTCGAAAAATGTTATGTAGATACAGTCATACAGCATGTAACCTTTTGAGGTTGGCTTTTTTCACTGAATATAATTCCCTGGAGTTTTATCCAAGTTGGTGCATATATTGTATCAATAGTGCTTTCCTTCCTTTTTGCCGAGTAATATTCCATGGTAGGCATGTACCACAGTTTAACCATTTGTTTAACCACATTGAACCATTTACCCATAGTTCACTTTCAAAGAACATCTGGGTTGCACCCAGTCTTTGCTTATTACAAATAAAGCTGCTGTAAACATTTGTGTCCAGGTTTTTGTGTGAACACATATTTCATTGCCCAAGAGTACTGTTGCTGGGTTGAATGGTAATTTCATGCTTAGTTTTATAAGAAACTTCAGGCAAAATTTTTGCCATTCCAATTTCGTGGTCCAGGTTTGCAGCTTGTTGCCTGGAAAGGTCATGAAGCTTGAGTTTCTTCATCTGTAAAATGGGCATGCTGTTAGTACCAGCATCATAGGGTTCTGGTGAGGAATAGATGAGTCCACCCATGAAAGGTGTTTAGAACAGTGCCCAGTGCTTGAGATGGCTGAAGTGTTGGGTGATAAAGATCAGCATTGGACCAGAGTTTGGACTTTGGTGTGGGACAGTCTGGGGGGCATTACTGTGTTACTTTCCTCTCTGACCTTAGTTTCCTCAGTCATAATATGGGGATAATGTGGAGATTTTTAGCACGGGAATGGCACCCAACAGATGCCCAGTAGATAGTAGCTGTTATTAATAGTTATTAAATAACTGTCACTCTTAGACATATATTTGGTAAAAGATGGAGATGGGTTATTTAGCTCTTGGATCTGGGTTTCCTGCTTAGGGCAGTGCCGTAACTAGCTATGTGGCCTTGTACAAGTCACCTAATCCCTTTTGGCTTTGGTTTCTCTCTGTGTAAAATGGGGCCGCTGCACTAAATAATGGCTGAGTCTTTTTAAGTGTTATACATATTAAAGTGTTACAGGGACAAGATTCAGTGCACCCTATCTCCTCATGCCCCCAGCACGGATGCACGTGGTCCCTGTCACCCCGAAATGTGAGGACTTTAATCAGACTTTTCCTTGTTTGCCTATTCTGTGGCTGCACCATTCCTAACCCCTCTAACTGAAGTCTGTATGAATATAAGTGCCCAAGTTGTGTTCATTCAACAAGCACTTATTTTTTTTTTTTTTTTTTTGAGACAGAGTCTCATTGTGTTACCCGGGCTAGAGTGCTGTGGCGTCAGCCTAGGTCACAGCAACCTCAAAGTCCTGGGCTCAAGCGATCCTCCTGCCTCAGCCTCCCGAGTAGCTGGGACTACAGGCATGCCATGCCCGGCTAATTTTTTCTACATATTTTTAGTTGTCTGGATAATTTCTTTCTATTTTTTTTTAGTAGAGACAGGGGTCTCGCTCTTGCTCAGGCTGGTTTTGAACTCCTGAGCTCAAACAATCCGCCCGCCTCGGCCTCCCAGAGTGCTAGGATTACAGGCGTGAGCCACCGCGCCCAGCCTCAACAAGCACTTATTAAGCACCCAGCTGTGAGTTTGAAGGCTGCTGGTTCACAGATGGATGAGTCTGACAGGGAGGGGCCCACAGTGGCTGAGCCCCTGCCTGTGCCAAGTGGTGGACCAGTGTTGCATGGATGGGGAGTCTGGCAAAGAGATAAGTGACAGTCCATCTTGGGGGGGATAAACGGTGGGCCCCAGGGGCTCTAGCATCAGAGCACATAACTGCTTAGAGATGCAGGAATTGCCTTGCCAAGGCTGACCCCTGAGCTGTGCCTCGTAGGAAGGAGAGGTCGGAAGAAATACTGATATTCATATAAAAATACAGATCCTTTCTTTCTAGCCATTTGATCTCTTTCCTTAATCTAAACATCTGTTCCTGTATTTTACCTAAGGGCTCCCAGAATGACATCTGCACAGGGAAGGGATGCTTTTTCTTTTTTTATTTTTATTTCAGGGTATTATGAGGGTACAAACATTATGGTTACGTTTTATGTCTTTGCCTCACCCAAGCGAGGGTTAGAGGCATGCCCTTCCCCTCTACAGCGCTTCCCATGTGGGAAGGAATGCTTTTTATTCTTTGTTTTATCCTTTCTCTCCATCCTTTTTTTTTCCATTTTAATTAAAACATTAAAAAAATAATTTTTTTAGATCAGTTTTAGATTTACTGAGAAATCTTATAGTTTCTATAAACCTGACGCCCCTCCCCTGTTGTTAACCTCTCACATTACTGTGGTATATTTGTCACAGTTTTTGAGTCAATATTGATACGTTATCCATATTTACGCAAATTTCCTTAGTTTTTACCTAATGCCCTCTTTCTGTTCCAGGATGCCACTCAGGACAGCACAGGACACATTTATTTGTCATATCGCCGTAGACTCTTTTAGGCTCTAACAGTTTCTCAGACTTTTCTATTTTGATGACCATGACCGTCTTGAGGGGTACTGGTCACATACTTTGTAGAATGTCCCCCAATTGAAATGTTTACCTGTTTTTTAACTTGAGACTTTTGGAAGTATAATGTTTATATATCCTGTTTCAAACTCAGCTCAAAAAAGAAAAAATTCTTTGTATTTTTAAGAAAAGAAATGATTGGTTTATAACCTCTAGCAAAAATGTTAGATGCCATAATTTTCTCCTAGAGCAGTGGTTCTCAACAGGAGTTGGAGGGGGCAATTTGGAGTTTGGCAGCATCTGAGACCTGAAGACCTTTTTGTCACAGCTCGGGGAGACAGGTGCTGTTGCCCTTTCGTGGATAGAGGCCAGGGATGCTGCTGAACATTCTACAGTGCACAGAACAATATTCTATAACAAAAAATTACATGGCTCCTAATGCCAGTAGTACCAAGGTCGAGAAACCTTGTCCTAAATTGAGTTCTAAGAACTCGTGTGATATTAATTTTAAGGGCCGGATATATTTGTGTGATCTGTTCTATTTGTTGTGCAGTGTGTCTTCTTTAGCTCAATCCCTGGCCTTCCAGGTGTGCTCATCAGATAATTGGCCTGTCCTGTTAGGTGCAGAAGGGAAGCATTCCTGCTCCTCTAAGAGGGGCTCTGCAGCCTTCTATTTGAATAGTCTAGTGGATTTTTTTTTTCTTTAGAATTATTCTTGGAGCCTGGTCTATTAGAATGTTTGGCTACTTTGTTGGGGCTATCAACTATTATCTATTAAGTTGCGGAAAGAAGTACAGGGATTAGTGCAAAGTGGTAGGAGCTTTTGTAGAGTGTTGAAGGGTTTATTCAAAGTTCTGGGTGGAGAGCATTTAATAGTCAATACAATATGATGTACTGTATTTAGTCAGGACAGTGTATAGTACAGTGATGTAAGTT